ATATCACCAGTTTTACTAGTTTCACCAGTATCATTAATTTTACCAGTATTACCAGTATTACCAGTTTCACCAATATCACCAGTTTTACCAATATCATCTAGTTTTATCAGTTTCACCAGTATCACCAGTATCACCAGTTTTACCAGTATTACCTAGTTTCACCAGTTTCACCAGTATTATCTAGTTTCACCAGTTTCACCAAATCACTTTTTAAATTTCACCAGTTTCACCAGTTTCATCAGTTTCAACTAGTGAAATTAATTAGTTTCACCTGCAACACTAATAACAACCTGAGATAATATATAACTGCTGTATAACGAGCCTTCTTAGTATCTGTGAGTTGCTCTTTACGAATTACATTATTTACAAACTCGATTGTCTCATGAATTGCTTTTTCATATTTAGTTATTCTCACATTTTCATTTTCACTTTTATTTGGAGATTCACTAATGACTGTCATAGTATTGGTAAAAAGAAAAAATTGTAAAATTTTTGATGTTCCTGCCACCACTTATCTTAATATCTTATTTTTTTTTGTTTTATTTGTTTTGAGTTTCTAACATAAATAGCAGGATGCTTTTTTTTTTCGAAGCTTGCTGCTGACACAGCGAGAAGACAACTAATTATTGAATTTGTCTTTTCGCTATTAAGCTCTTTATCATCTTCCTCAAAATCAGAAATATTCTCTTGAAAGTTATAAGTATTGTCTAGATTTGAAATATTACTTTTATACTTTTTGCTTGACCCAAGATCAATAATATTTTTTTTGCTTTTGTAATATCATTGGCAGTAGTGCTAGTGCTGATTCTGGAGATGGTGCTAGTTCTGAATATGGTGCTTGCTCTAGTAGTAGTGCTAGTATTTGCATCTGCTAGCTATATGGAATGAGCTAAATTTGCTCTTGCTTGCTATGACTGTCTTGAATTCAATATCCTTGTTATAAAAAAATTAACAATAATCTAAAATCAAGATTAGTTTTAATAGATGATTCGCTAGTCATCTGGAGAGCTATATGATACAGGTTACACAAGATTTATATATAAATTATATATAAAATCTTCAAATAGTAAA